TGAAAGGCAGGACCTGCCTGACCAACCTGATCTCCTTCTATGACCGGGTGACCCGCCTGGTGGATGAGGGAAAGGCTGCGGATGTTACCTACCTTGACTTCAGCAAGGCCTTTGATACTGTCTCTCATGGCATACTCCTTGAGAAGCTGTCGTCTCCTGGCTTAGACAAGTGTACTCTTTACTGGGTGAAAAACTGGCTGGATGGACGAGCCCAGAGGGTTGTGGTGAATGGGGTTAAATCCAGTTGGTGGCAGGTCGCTAGTGGTGTTCCCCAGGGCTCGGTGTTGGGCCCGGTTCTGCTTAACATCTTTATCGACGATTTGGACGAGGAGATCGAGTGCCCCCTCGGCAAGTTTGCAGACGACACCAAGTTGGGACTCGGGGCTGATCTCCTTGAGGATAGGAAGGCTCTACACAGATATCTGGACAGGCTGGATCAATGGGCCGAGGCCAACTGTATGAAGTTCAACGAGGCCGAGTGCCGGGTCCTGCGCTTTGGTCACGGCGACGCCATGCAGCGCTATGGGGTTGAGGAAGAGTGGCTGGAAAGCTGCCCGGCGGAGAAAGACCTGGGGGTGCTGGTTGACAGCCGGCTGACTATGAGCCAGCAGTGTGCCCAGGTGGCCAGGAAGGCCAACGGCATCCTGGCCTGTATCAGAAATAGTGTGGCCGGCAGGAGCAGGGAGGTAATCGTTCCCCCGTATTCGGCACTGGCGAGGCCGCACCTCGAGTACTGCGTTCAGTTTTGGGCCCCTCGCTATGGGAAAGACGTTGAGTTGCTGGAACGTGTCTGGAGAAGGGCAACCGAGTTGGTGAGGGGCCTGGAGCGTAAGTCTGATGAGGAACGGCTGCGGGAGCTGGGGTGGTTTAGTCTGGAGAAAAGGAGGCTGAGGGGAGACCTTATCACTCTCTACAACTACCTGAAAGGAGATTGTAGCGAGGTGGGTACTGGTCTCTTCTATCAAGTAACTAGAGATAGGACGAGAGAAAATGGCCTGAAGTTGCGCCAGGGGAGGTTTAGCTTGGATATCAGAAAAAAATTCTTTACTGAGAGGGTTGTCAGGCATTGGAACAGGCTGCCCAGGGTAGTGATGGAGTCACCATCCCTGGAGGTGTTCAAAACACACGTAGATGTGGCATTTTGGGACATGATTTAGGGGGCGTGGTGGTGGTGGGTTGATAGTTGGACTTAATGATCTTAGAGGTCCTTTCCAAATTTCATGATTTGATTCAATGCGATTTGATTCTATTCTAGGGAGCAGAACAGAGATGTAGCAAGAAAGGAAAAAAAGGAAGGGAGGGAAAACAAAGGGAGAGAGACACAAAGACTGGAAGAAGGACAAAGGGATGGCAGAGGAAAAAAAATAGTGATAGGCTGCAGGACAGAGATGGAGGAGTTCAAAAAAGACACAGGGAGCATGACAGAATGAGAGTGAGAAAAAAGGGACAGAGCAGGACAGCACCGGAGGAAAAAACAACTGTGATAGGCTGTGACAGAGATACGGAGGAACAGAGAAAAGAGAAGGGACAGCTAGCTGGAGGGGAGGATACAGTTTGAAAGGATGGAAGAGGGAACGGAACAGAGAGAAATACAGGAAAGATAGCAAGAGGAAGCAGGGCAGAAGGACAGCAATAGAAGAAAAAAGGGACAGGGATCTGGACAGATGGAGAAAAAAGCAGGAGGAACAGATACAACATGATACGATAGGACAGGAAGTAACAGCGCGACAGATGAGAATAATGACAAGAGACAGAGAGAGACTGTGAGAAACACAGCAGGTTGGGAGGGGGAGAGAGAGAGATTAGGACCCCTGCAGAGAGAGAGAAGGCATGAATAAAAAGAGTAGGGAGCACCACAAAGGGTCAGAGAAAGAGAAGAACAGGAAGGACGACGGGGAGAGTGAGATACAGAATAAACCCCCCTACATGCTATACACATATTATCCAGTAATCAAGCCCATTTCAGAGTTAAACAGTACCTCAGCCCCTTTAAGAAAAGTAACACATTGACCGAGCCCAATTCGGCAGCACACAGAACCCGAGCAAATTTCAAAGTCGGCACACCGCGCCCGAGCCCCTTTCGGCGCCGCACCGCGCCCGAGCCCAGTTCACAGTTACATAGCTGCGGAGCCAATTTCTAAGTTGGGCAATTACTAGAGCCAGGAACGCACCCCTTTTCTATTAACCCAGCAGCAGCTACATTTACCTCGAGGTATCTACAACTCTCCCTTGGATGCCTAATTCTAACAGACACTTTCCCTTACTTCAACAGCTAAGTTTACCTATGGGCACTAAACGCGCATGCTTTGCTCTACACTTGCCTTTCTGATTGCCATTACTACTGTGATTCTCACAAGGAGACCTAATTACCTGTCTTTTTTTCATTTTCTTTTTTTTGCTTCATTTGGTCTATTACTGA